ATACTCTGAGGAAACCATCAAGTAACATCACTAGACAAGCCATTGCTCGAGTGGAACCCGAAAGGGAAGCGGCGAGTTGGTCGTCAGTGCAAGGGTGACTTGGAGGAGGTCATGTGAAGAGGAGATGAAGGCGTGTGGGCAGAATTGGAGCCAGGTGAAGATTCTAGCAGAGAACCGAACGCAATGGAGACGCACGGCTGAAGCCCTATGTTCCTCTAGGAATTAAAGGAAACATTAATAATAATAATCACCCTCAACGGGCTGATCGCCGACAAGATCTCAGCATGGATACGAAGACTTGCCTTGCATTTGCCAACTTACATCGTCTATGGAGTAGACATGATGTGTGGTTATCGACTAAAAGATGTGCGTACACTGACGAACTGACATCACTCAGAGTACCAATGAAAACCAAGGAATAATACAGAGCTTTCTACTCCTAGTATGAAACTCTTTAGTGGTACACACCCATGAACCTACCGAGGATAATACTTTATTTTTATTTTATATTCCACTCAGAATACAAGGAATGAAAATTAATATAATATTACTTAATTTATTGAAACAGAATATTCACTCATCGAAGTAAAAAATGCCGAGACTTCACAGACGTCTTACAATACATATGTGGCGCTGTAGTGAGTTAATGACTACTAAGAGTACATAGCCATTGAAGGTGGAACACATGGAAAGGCTAGCTATCTTTGATCGTAAGGGTCTGCGTTCTACCTCCTATGTTAGTTGGTGGTATAATAGGGTGAGTAATACTGTAGTTAGGAATAGAGTGTTAAGTAAGAAGGGGAAGTCAGTGGATGCGGTTGTGAAGCTAAATCGATTGAGGTGGCTTGGACACGTGTTACGCATGCCTAGCTATCACCTTCCTCGAAGGGAGATGTTGGCCGACATTGGAATAGATTGGAAAAGAGTTAGGGGAGATGAATCCGAAATCCATCATCAGTTCATGAAGTCTTTGACGGTCGGTTCGAGCCACGTAAGGAGATGTGAACTGCTAGACTAAGGTCTTTGGGGTTCCAAGAACCAATCGTTGAAGACTATTGGTGATGTAGTTCAAAATCGTTCTCAGTAACTGAGATGCATTCAGTTTTTGTAATCTCGTAGATTCATTAAACCCTTATGTCTTTCCATGCTACTATTCCTTCTCCCTTGTTCAACTCAAAAGGAAAAAAGGTTACAATCATTCAATGCTACGCGCCTACAAACGTCTCAGAAAAAGAGAAGAAGGAGGATTTCTACAGTCAACTACAAATAGTAATGGACAACGTCCCAAAGAGCGATATCAAAATCCTGATGGGTGACATGAATGCGAAACTGGGAGGAGACAATACAGGAAGAGAACTCACCATGGGTCGTGAGACCCTCGGTGAAATGAACGAAAATGGTGAACTCTTCTCAGACTTCTGTGCCTTCAATGATTTGGTGATTGGTGGCAGTGTGTTCAAACACAGGGATTTACACAAGGCAACATGGATTTCACCAGATGGACACACCACAAAGCAGATAGACTTCATTTCAATCTCAAGGAAGTGGAGACGGAGCCTACTGGACACAAGGTCGAGGAGAGGAGCAGATGTGGGTTCAGACCACTATCTAGTACAAGGGACTTTCAAGGTGAAGCTGAAAGCCTCGAGGATAGCTGGGGATAGGCCACAATGCAAGTTCAACACTCACAAACTGAAGGACACAATCACACAGGACATTTTCACTGCAACTGTCAGAGCAAAGCAGGAAACACTACGTGACACCACTGAGGAATCATCCGTGGAAGACCATTGGAACTCTCTGAAGGTGATTTGCAACGAAACGTGTTCAACGGTTTTAGGAAGAAAGAAGAAACAAGACAAGGAATGGCTCTCAACGGACACCTGGAAGCTAATAGAGGAGAGGAGAATGGTGAAAGAGAAAATGATTCAATGCAAAGATGGACAAGAGAAAGAGACGCTGAGCTCAACTTACACAGCACTGGACAAAGAAGTGAAGAAGAGTGCCAGGAAGGACAAAAGACAATTCTACGACAACCTGGCTACTGAAGCTGAGAAGGCAGCAGGCAAAAGGGACCTGAGGACATTATATCAGATAACCAAGTCTCTATCCCGGAAGAGATCGACACAAGTGAAACCTATAAAAGACAGCCAAGGGAACCCAATTACCAAAGAAGAAAGACAGATTAAACAATGGGCGGACCACTTCAAAGGACTCTTGAACCGACCACCACCTGCAGCCCGTCCAGTAATACCAACAACAGCACGTACACAACTGCAAGTTGACACCAATCCTCTAACGAAAACTGAAGTCATGAATGCAATCAAGCTTCTGAAAGCTGGAAAAGCAGCTGGACCAGATGGAATACCCCCAGAAGCACTGAAAGCGGACCCAGAAACGACAGCAGATATGCTGACTCCATTATTGCTAAAGGTCTGGAAGGAGGGAAAGGTGCCTACTGACTGGAGGATAGGTTACCTAGTGAAACTACCAAAGAAGGGCGACCTGGGACTCTGCAAGAACTGGCGAGGAATCATGCTCCTGTCGACGCCAAGTAAAATCCTGAGTCGCATCATCCTGGAGAGAATAAAGGACGCACTGGATACAGAACTCCGACCAGAACAAACTGGATTCAGGAAAGGCAAATCATGTTCTGACCAAATTGCAACTCTACGCATTATCATAGAACAAAGCATGGAATGGCAATCAAATCTCTACCTCAACTTCATAGACTTTGAGAAGGCCTTCGACAGCGTTGACCGCGAAGTGATTTGGAAACTACTCGAGTACTACGGCGTACCCCAAATATTCATCAACTTTATTCAACAACTGTACGACAACGGCACATGTCAAGTGATCCACAACGGAAAACTCAGCGAAGCGTTTGGAGTAAACACAGGAGTCAGACAAGGGTGCTTATTATCACCAATGATATTCCTAATTGTAGTGGACTGGATTATGCGTCAGACAGTGGGAAACGAGGAGACACGGATATCCTGGACCGACGTGAAGAACCTAGAAGACCTGGACTTTGCGGACGATTTATGTTTGATGTCACACAAAATCGAAGACTTACAAGCGAAAACCGACAAACTGGTCGAAGAAGCAGCAAAGACAGGACTCCAGGTGAACATGGACAAGACGGAGTTTATGAAAATAACCAACCAACAACAACAGCAGCAACATCCAGTGCCAATCACCATCAACGGGAGGGATTTGAAGGAGGTTACTTCTTTCACTTATCTATGGAGCATTGTCTCAACTACAGGAGGAACGGACGAGGACGTCAAATCGAGAATCGGGAAGGCAAGAAACACATTCATCAACCTGAAACCAATCTGGAAATCTTCGTCACTCAGCATCAACAACGAAATTCGGATTTTCAATACAAACGTCAAGTCAGTTCTTCTCTTAACGGATCAGAAACTTGGCGGGTCACAAAGAATATTTCCAACAGGTTGCAGATCTTTATCAACAGCTGTCTTCACTCTATGCTAAAGATCAGATTACCGGAAAGAATCACCAACAAGAAACTATGGGAACAAACGAAACAGGAACCAATCGCCCAACAAATATGCAGCAAAAAGTGGAGATGGATTGGACACTCGCTGAGGAGGCCGTTGGGTGACATCGCGTGTCAGGCCATAGGTCGAGTGGAACCCGAAAGGGAAGCGGCGAGTGGGACGTCCAAGGGTGACATGGAGGAGATCGTGTGAGGAGGAGATGAAACAGTATGGAGTAACATGGATGCAAGTGAAAAGTACAGCAGAAGACAGAAGCAAGTGGAGGCGTGCAGTTGAAGCCCTATGTTCCACTAGGAACCCAAGGGAACAATAATAATAATTCCTTCTCCCTTACACTTCTGTCTCGTACACTCCTCCTGAGTCTCTTTTTCTCTTTCCTTTATGTGGTACATGAAGTATGGCGATTTGAACTACTGCACTTCAGTGCTAATTCCTCTACTGAAACTTAGTCGGTTAGTCAGTCAATCAGAACAACTGACGCAGGATATTCGTAAATCTCGTGCTTAAATTCCATCCATTATGTCCTAGTTAACATCTGAAGGATGTGTTGGGCACAAGTCGAGCAAAACAAACTCATTTCTGATACTTTCTACTCATGAAGCAAGAGTGATATTCAGAAATTATTACTGCTATTTATGATCACTTGTCATTATAAAACCAAACAAAACTGTAAATAATTGTGCAGAGAATATTCTTTTCGATAAATTCCTCTTCTGGTTCTACAATTATATATCCATGTTTATATACATAGAATATTCTAGATTGGTAGTTAATAACAAAATTAATGTTTTTTAAATAATATTGATTTGTAAAGTAAGGTCAATGCAATTATAGTTCATTAAAGATGCTTAAATTATGATAATAATATTAATAATAATAATAATAATAAAGATATAGTAGCAAATAGAATATAAACTAAAATTAGGAAAATTTCACAAATCTTGTGGATACAGAACACAAGATTGATGTTAACCAGGCTTTCAGGGTCATTTAACGCATACCGACAAATCTCAGTTTCGCCTTAAGAGTTCGACTACTAAATATTGCTGAGGCAGTTGGGATCCATATTAAGAAGCCTAATTTGTACGTCCAAAAGAAGCTGGTTCAAACATTGTCCTTATCTTGCCATCTAGGTTTGAATGATCCTGAAATTTTGTCAAATTTTCCTAATTTTAGTTGATATTCTATTTGCTACTATATCTTTATCGTTGTTACTATAATTTAAGCATCTTTAATGAACTGTAATTCCATTTATCTTACTTTACAAATCGATATTATTTAAAAAACACTAATATTGTTATTGACTGCTATTCTAGAATACTCTATGTATATAAACATGCACATAATTGTAGAGCCAGAAGAGGGAATTATCGAAAAGGATATTCTTTGCTCAATTATTTTGTGTTTTATAGATGTCTGAATGAATATTTTCGGTATATTGAAAACTATAAATAATTAAAAAGCAGAACACAAATATAAATATTCTGTAGAAAGATTTTTCTCTTTTCAAATGAAAATATTCTTCTCACAATGAATGCAAAATGCAAAACAAACAACAAAAGAAAAACATTTATAGTAAGTACAATGCATAAGAATAGTAAAAAAAATTTATTAAATAAATAAAAATAAGAAGGAGCAATGTATTTTCCATTTCGAGAAACTTCCAAATCAGTAAATAAATAAAGTATAAAAATCACATTATTTCTGCGGAAAAAATAAAATAAAACACACATAAACCAACACATATTCATAACATAACAAGAAATACCACTGAACATAATTTTCACACATTTTTAGGGCGATGACATATGACACATCACATTATCCCCGCCGCCTCCGAATCACCTTCATTTCGAATGAGTATCACCACTAGAATACAGGTAAAAAACGAAGCATTTCTGATGCAACGGGAGACCATAGATATACACATATATACCACCCTGAAGCAATGAATATGCAATTTTATGCGTTTAACTCTGGAGCCTGACTATTAAATAATATTTACCGCCATAAAATTGGGTTGAATTCAAGCCTCATGCTCTTTTTAACATCCCTCTTTAATAATAATAATATCAAGATAATCACAATAGTATAGAAGAATCATGATTATAATCGTAAATAATAAATGCAGAATAGATTTCCCAATTTACGATGCTTTATAAAAATATTTATCTATTGTTTGAAGGGTTGATGATGGCTTCTGATGTTTAACTTGTTTTTTCATTATCTGTTTTGACTGAGATTTCACTTTGGATGAGGTAATAATTTTATTCGACAGTGAACTAGTACTGTTATTTGTTGTTGCTATTGATGCCTTCGCCGGACTGCTCACCTCTTCATTTTTCCATTCTTGTTGTATACGTTGAGCAATATGAAAATCTTCATGTTCAGGGATTTGCCATACAGATACACGGGAATTACACTTATCGCATATAATCCAATCAGCAACAGAATATGAAGTGAAAAAGTTACTTGAATCTGATGTCGATGAATGACGTGATTCTGAATCAATGTCTAGACACGCAGGAGATTTATCTAACGATCTGTAGATATCATTCTCTAAAGTATCATTAGATTGTAAACTGTCAGTTGTAGCATTATTGGTGGTGGTGGTAGTGGTGTCAACGCTAGATATGATTGGGTGAAATGGAGCTGAAATCTCAGCCACTCGTAAACGTTTGAAAAATGACATACATTTATTTCTATTGTCATTATTATTATTATTGTCAGTATCATTGGGAGATGTACGCTTATTCTCAGATGGAATATTGCGCAGATCAGCTTTATTATCAGGACAAGCTGTTAGTATAGACGATGTTGACGAGCAGGAGGAGGAGGTGGTGGGGTTAGTAGATATCGAGGAAGACGATACATTTTTGTCCGTAGACGGGAGATGTACAGGTACAGATTCTTCTTGTTGTACAACACAATTTGCATCTGATACTTCTTGTTGTTGTTGTTGCTTCTTTTGTAACAAGCAGCGTATGTCAAGATTTGATGCGCATGGATTAGTAGTAAACTTTCCAGCTGTTAGTCCTAAACACGTTATACCAGGATCCCTAGAACAGGCAATTATGAAGATAAAAGATTCAAATCTGACTCTACTTTTATAGATATTTAAGAGGAAGATAAAATGAACTTACAAGTATAAACGGAAACATTTTATAACATAGGCAGACTATTGAATAAAACGACTACATACTTAGCAGAAATGACAAGACATTATCAATGTCTAGTTACATCACGAAATACTGTCATCACCAAGAGGACCAGTAAATACCAGGAAGTACTAAACAGCTGTTTCATCCTACTCTGGGACTTCTTAGAAGTATGCGTCTCATGATTCCAACAGCGATCGAATCCACAACCTTTTTGGTCTCAAGGTAAACCCTTCGACCATTCAGTCACTAGGACAAGGTGCAGTAGTTGGCACCACTGTAACCCAGTATCATAGGCGACTACCTAACACCCGAATTGGTGTGCCTTAATCGGTCACGACTTCTCACTACAAAGAACTCCAGGCAACTTCATCCTGTTTCCCTGATAAGTAGAAATAGTTGTCTGGTGTTGCCAATCGCCGATGCCTTTTCCATCTCTTTCACTTTTGTCGCCCACCACTGTTCGCGGTTGTTGCGAAGACTTCTTATTAGTTTGCATTTGAGTAGCTTTCGCTCCTCATCAATTTCGGAGCTCACCGGAATCAGTCTTATTGCGTCAGTTAGTTCGGATGAGGTGGTAGAAATTCAATGGCTCTGGCTAAGAATATATAAATATGATATGTTTTCCCCTAATAAAGGCCCGTTACCAAGTCTTTTATCTTCTCCCGTTACAGTCTATTATACATTCCACTTTCAATGTCCATGTGTCACAACCATAAAGGAGGATGGAGCGAACTGCTGAGCAGTACACACACCCCTTTGATCGACAGTCGGATATCACATGTACGCCAGAGATGACATAAGTTGGCAAGCACCACACGAGCCTTTTGTATCTGTGCTGAGATTTGGTCGGCAATCTGCCCGTTGAGGCTGATAGAACTTTCCAAATAATAAGTGAAGTGGTCAACACGCCTTACCACGTCATTCCCTATCTTTACACTGGGAGTCAGTGCAGTCCAGTTCTGCAATATCACTTTAAATTTGACAGGGGTGAATCGTATACCAAACATTCGAAGTTTGTTGTTCAAGGTGTTCAGAAGACTCTTCATTTTATCACCGTCTTCACCTAGGGGATAATATCATCCGCATACTCTAAGTCAATAAGTCTGTTCCCTGATTTTAAGTCAACCCCTAAGTTGTTAAAGTCAGCTAGAGTTAATTCCATTAACACATCTATGATGAAATTAAACAGAAAAGGGGACAGTTGGTATCTCTGAGAGAAACCACTGGTTGTCATCACTTCAGATGACAACTGTCTATAAGCTCTTACACGGCTGCTTCAGATCTAGTAGATTGCCTTGATTAGTGCAACAAACTTCCTCATCTCTCTGTTCATAATCGAACATTGCCATAACATCTCTCGGTCGACGGAGTTGAATTCTGTCTTCAGGTCAACAACATTTGGCTGTTTTGGAAATATTTCGCAATGAGAATATAATGGCGTGCACTACGACGATTAATTAAGGGAATAGTAGTACAGTCACAAAAAGGCCACAAATGACTTAAAAATATCAAACTCTGTTCATGCGTCAAACTTAAATTCATTTAGTTTTGAAATGAAATAGAATGTATCTAAATATATGCAAAACAGAACAGAGTTTACGCTGAAATTTCACTACTATCTCTAAAGGAAACCAAAAATATTCACACTGCAATATGTAACATTCTACATGGAATCAAGAAGGCATGATGATGGGGTGTCATTGAATTAAGTACTCAGTTTTTACACAACGGGTCGTGGGCTCGAATTCTACCCAACTTATTACAACCTAAGAAATTGAGTAGAATCATCAGACCCCCCTCATACAATAAGTATGGTTCATTGCTTATTTATTAAAACACAAACTTGATATGTTATAGGCACCAAGAGATGTATCACACAAAATCTCATAGTTGGTACAACGGCTAAGGAACTGCCTTGACGTCCAGGCCGAAGCACGAGGCTGTCTTGTGTGGCCAACCTCCAAGCCTTTAACTTGAAATCTGACCCACAAGTCAGTGGATCAGAATCAGGAGATGCGTTTCGATGGTTTCCAGTGACCAAAACAAGTTCATAAGTCATTCAATCGTTTCGGATTCTGGAGCTCTTTTACACCACAGATTTTTGAATCAGGGTTTTCCAGCCCGCCTAGGTAGTCCTCCGTTTCCACTAGTCCGTTTCTTAACTCAAGACGTTCGCATTTACCCTCCCACTACTGTGAGGTACACGCTACGGGCGGCGTGAACGAAGTGAGTAGGACTTACCTGACAGAGGCTATGAACACGTGGCCACATGAGAACATTTCGGGAGTAAGACCGAATTCTACCCATCCTCAGGTGTACCAAGTCATTCATGAGGGCAAGTATGGCTCAGAGCCATATATACATGGTAAATGGATAGTAAATACTTAGCGAAAGTAGTGCCCAGCTAGATATGTGCATCGTAGGAGTAATGATATAATTAAACCATGAAGCATTTTATTTATAGAGCAGTAATACAAAGTTCAAGTGGTAAACCTGTAAGGTAGATAGACTACAACTTGGTGAGGTTTCCAAAAGTGCATATTCAAACTTTCAATTCTCATCATTTGCAGAACGCTTATATCCTTCCCCATTTAAGCCTAAGGCTAAAATCACCTTACCGATTTAAGCACTTGGCCTTCGCTGTTACAGACCGGATTCAAACTCGACCCTAAATATATCAGCCTAAGTTAACACATCAAGAAAAACAATCGCGGAACTACTACCAGTGACTATTAAATCTCATACTAACGTGCGTCGGTGGCACAGCGGTTAGGACTCTCGCCGACCATGCATATGGTACGGGTTCGATCACCTGCCGACGCCCACCTGATATCAATGGTCGGTCTGCAAAATTTGGACTACCGGTATCACATGCTGAAAATTCCATACTTGTACTAAATAAATACGGTGTGGAATCAAGCTATAATTTTTTCAAAAAATCCCTCCAAACAAGTACTTGATAATTAATAAAATGTGAAGACACATACTCACTGATACTCACTGATGCTACTGGCTGGCAGTGGCAGAAGTTCGAACTCACAGGTCATTGAACTCCTTCCCAGTGGGTGAATAGTCAGTGATGTCACTGCTCAATCTAAAAGTACCGGGTTCGATCCCCGATGGATTCTTGGGTGCATAATAATGAAGAGTTCGACAGTGGGACAAAACAGCTATCCAGTACTCACTGGTCGTCTTTAATGGTTCTTTCTAACTGATATCAATCCATGATCTCAAGCCAACATACACGCCATAAAACAGACTTACCAAATCTCTGGTGCTTCACCTTTGTAAAATACATCTTTCAATGTTGATACAGCAGCATTTGCAAGTTTTTCAATATGACTTGAATATTTCATTGAATTCATCGCATTAGGACCCAAGTTACTATTACTATTACTATCATTGTCGTCCAATGTAGATTTATCGATATTACAATTCTCATTATTACTATTATAACCAATAAACTGAAGTAGATTCGATGGTAGTGTACGCGAGATACCCCCAGCATAGTTTAAATGATTTGCAGTACGTGCATAAACAATTAATCGTGTAGGATAACGTTGATTTTGATTATAATCATCATCTAGTCTTTCATATAATTCTTCTGTTAAGCATAATAACCAACGTTTTATTTGTCCACTTGTTGTCAGCATTGCACGTCCCATAAAATTTTTACTACATCCAACAGATTGTGCAAGTGATCGAGAGACAACTGATTCATGATCAATACCACGAGATAAATCATGAAGCCATATTCTAAGGAAGTAAAAAAAAACAATAAATGAATAAATAAAACAGCAAAGAGAAAAACAAGTTAATATGAAGTTTATTCTGATGCTCAATAGTTGGCTGAAGTTCTAGTGAGAAGTCATGAACAGTTGTGTGCACTGAGTCAGGTAGTAGTAGTAGGTGTGAGGACAAACACTTACCGATGTGATATTGGCAACTGGCAGTGGCATCAAAAATCGCCAACTGTGATAGAAGTTAGATTCATCGATCGGACACTAGACTCCATCCCAGAGGTTGAATGACCAACGAGGTCACTTGGGTTTGATCCCTAGTGCTGTCGTGGATGCGTACTACTGAAGAGTGCTAGACTGGGACGAAACAACTGTCCAATACTCTTTGGTTTTCAATGGTTCTTTAAACAATATCAATCTGTAAACAAACTTGAAGTCAATATCAATTAGAAAAACTAAGGAGAGATGATGAATTTGTCATTGTCTTTTATACTTGCGAAAATTGAAGAATTTGATATGACAGACAAACACAGTGATACAGTTGTTTAAGGGTTGGTTTGCAGGGATTTGATTGGTTTTCAGGACTTCACTGCGAGCTGACATCGATGATACCGTATTAAAAACTGGATGACGATATTTCAAGCACGATTTATTGGTCATAATTTCATATCAGTAAATGCACATGGCTTGATAACTTGCTTTATATAGGCTCTCCACCTAAATATATTAATTTACGAATACTTTTGTCCTATCCCACCCTATTGTCTGATATTATATGCAAGTGAGTGTATTGCAATGACCAAGCTTTTTGAAATCACCTTACTTAGCGGAGTCAATCATACTAGATATAGCTAAATTTCTAGGCTTCGATAACCTAAATGATGGTGTTTCAACATAGAACTTAGTGTAAAAAGTGCAACAGTTTAAGTTGCCACACTTCATAACATTGGCAAACCAAGGTAGAGAAAACGAAAAATCAGTAGTCTGGGAAGACCATGATGAGCAGGAATGTATAGGAAAAAGAAAAGGACTTAATAGATCTGGGAGGTCAAAACAGTGAATGTATCTGTGCCAATTAGAATGATTTTGGACCAGATCATTAATAATCTCAAGATCCTGGTTCTCAGCGTCTAGAGGACCCCAACAAGGTGATATACAGTTCCATTAGCAGCTCAAACTAATAATCAAAAGTTTTTAAGTGTTGGTGTGGTGAGTGCTGACTGCTAGCCAAATTGGTAGACAGTAATTTACGTCAATGTTTACGTCCCCAATATTGGTCATGAGAAAAATATGAACAAAGACTGACTCAACAACCAATCACAGCAGACTTTGCGTAAACGGATACAATTTGCAGATAGATGATCTGACATTCAAGAAACAGCCACAAAGAGATGAAAGATTACCGTTCAGCGAGAAACTACCAATCAGAAGACCGTGTCTGTTTGCTTAAAATAATCTATAATAATGTACATGGAAATCTATAAATATCTGTTGATTTCCTAAATAAACGATCTCTTGCCTGGCCCTTGTATTCCGTTGTTACATTGGTCTGCAGGCATTTGATTATTTACAGATTTGATCGCAAGCTAATATCGCGACTGGGCAGAAGCGCATGGTTGTGAACTATTGGGTCCGATCACGGTGGCTAAAAAGTCTACCAGCTAACGTTATAACCGAGAAGTCCTGGGTCGGAACCCCGGAAGAGTCCCAAACTAAGACGAAACAGGTGTGCAGTACTCCATGGTTCTTCAAATGATGTCAGCTAATGATCAAACCTCTACAGGTGATCAAAGACTTCATGGATTGGTGGTTTTGATAACCTAACTGACACCGGTCTTCTAGTTTGACTTATGTGATCGATAATCTAAACACACTGATACGTTTCGGTAAGAGAAAAATTCTTATATTTAAAGCTGACAGAACAGGAGGACTTGTTCATTGACTCTAATAAGTAATTATGACAATCATGATATGTCAACAATGTTGGATTATACTACACTTCATCAAAAGAAATTAAAACCCACATATGGTTCAGTTCTATGCTGAGATATTTCACATGATGAAATAATTATCTTACCTAAAGGTTGATCAACACCAATTGTAATCATGTGTTGTAAAGTCTGAGATACTACACAAAAAGGGCCTAACAAGAAGTACCCTCAATTGAAATATATCTAACAGTGTTTATATTATTTCACTATAGAAGATATCGGCCCCAAACGAGAGAAACGATTGCCTAGTGTTTAGATCACTTCGATCTGAATGGCAGACATTACTGTTTGATGTTAGTGGTATTCAATTACTCGTGTCAATTAATCAACCAACCAATTAGTACTGTAACAACAGAAAACAAGGGCCAGGCAACAGAACGTTTATTACGGAAAATCAACACGTATTTATAGATTTTGATGTACATTATTGTAGGTTAATGTTAGTAGAAAATACAGTCTGTTGATTGGTTGTTTCTCACACAAAGTTAACCTTGCATCTCTTGTGGTTGTGTCAGTTCATCTCTATGTTAACTGTATCCGCCTGTCCATCTTGACCTTGACCTCAATTACTGTCAACCAATTTGGCTAGCAATCATCTCTCACCACAACATGACTAATATTTGATACATAAACATTGACCTCAATTACTGTCCACCAATTGGCTAGTAGACACCTCTCACCACAGTACTACATAGTATAGTGCGCGTAGTACAAACTATCAGGTCTCGTATATGAATTCATGAATAATAAAATCGTAGAATGGTCCCTCCCCAGGGGAAAGGGCTCTCGAGTGGTTACACCACACAATAGTACTGCATGTTATTCTGGTCCCGCAAAACAGAAAATCGGTGTAAAACTGCCCGATCAGTGGCTGTATCACTGTGTGAATAGTGAATCGGTGACTCAGTAGTTGAATACTAGCCAACCACGTACGTAATGCGGGCTTCACTCCCTGACAAACGCACTCCTAAATCTCGCTTAGCCGGCAGTAAGCCCAGTAAAGAGAGAACGTTAGCAACCACAATCCGTTAAAGCACTGCTACTGAAACTTCAAAGCTCAAACCTGAAGTCATATGTTCCACTCACAACGCAAAGAAATAAAAAACGAAAACTCTGTAGCTAATGAGTAATACAAATCATAATAGAAGACTCCGCAGACAAAAGCTTCATTGATATTTGACCTCGACAGTTTACACGTGCTTGTTTGAATAAGGTGAAGAACCAATTTTTCACTGACTTTTTCAAAGAACTGCTTTATCTACGTTCAACTCGTCTAATCTCTTGAAAAATAACCAACGTCAGCTCGTGATCTAACTTTAAATCAATCAAATCCCTCCAAATCAACACTCGGAAATAAATCTAGAGCTGACTAGTGATTGACTACAAGATAATGCTGCCTGAATTTCTAGTGGGAATTCGTGACAAGTGAGGTCCATCAAGTAAGATGCGAAGACAAATATTCACTGACACCTTTAGCTGATGGTTGCGCTATACATCAAAGATTAGCAGAGTTAGAATTCACTGGCTAACCGACCCTATCTCAATAGCTGGACAGTCACAACAGGTTCGCTTCGTAACTTGAAAGTTCTGGTTTTGATTCCTTGATGAGTTCTAAACTAGAATGAACAGCTACCCAGTACTCTCTGGTATTCACTGGTTCTCCAACTGAAGTTAGTTCATGATCTAACTTAAAAAACCAGTTCTCTACACAAATAGTATTACACTTTCAAAAAACATCGAATTGAAGTGTTGGTTTGCAGGTTGATTATTTACAGGTTTTCGATTACAAGCCGACATCAGTTAGAGAACCATGGAAAACAAGAGGGCACTGGACAGCTGTTTCGTCCCAGTTTGAGACTCTTCAGCACCACACACCCACCAGGGTTTGAACTCAGGACCTTCACATTAGGACGGCTAGTAGATCATTCAACTACTGGGATCCAATCCAATGGCAAATGAATTCCAACTTCTGCCGATTCGCGATATGTAGCGTTACCACCAGTCAATGTCGTGGGTGAGTGACTGTTCTCTTACCTGACTTGGTGGACCCTGCTGGTTAAAACTTTTCACTAGGCTTTCAGGTAATATCACGTGTTGGTTTGCATGGATTTGACTTTCAAAAATATCACTTTTTCAGATATTCATTATGTAAAAAATTACCTACTACTCAGAGGAAAGATGTACAATTATAAATGATATACATAGATTCTAAAGAAAATCAATTGGAAAAATATTGAAAAACTTACGCTGTCTTTTCCCCGAATTCTTTCGAAAGCAATGATATCGGAACTGTACTCAATTGACCGAGTGTCTCAATATTGAATTGTTTAATCACAGCACTTCCTAATTTACCGCCTAAATTTCGTCTTTCAAAAATATAATTTTAAAAAACATAAATATTGTAACAAACAATTAGTAACTACTACTAAAATTCATTTAAATGTTAAACATATTAGATACATCAATCATATCATACACTAAAGTGATCCGCAGATTGCTGCTGCCTATTATTGTTACTCCCCCTTGGGTTCCAAGTGGAACTTATAGCTTCAGCAGCACATCTCCATTTTACTCTCTGTTCTCTGCACTCATTTTATAGCTGGCTCCAACATTTCCCAAAAGCTTTCATTTCCTCCATATACAGTCTCCTTTATGTCAGTCTCGGACGCCCGACTCGTCGTTTCCCTTCTAGGCTCCACTTAGGAGCCTAGTGTATGATATTGCTAAACAGTCTCCTAATTGTTTGTCCATTCCTACTCTATTTTCTTCAGAATATTTGTTGGAATGTTTGGTAGTATGTTGCCATAGTTCCTTCCTTTTAATTCTTTCTGATCTTTGGATCTTCAGTAGGCAGTAGAGACAGCTGTTGATGTAACTGTGCAGCCTGCTGGAAATGCAGCTGCACATATAAATTACATTAATTGATTAACCATATAAGTAGAAGAAAACTGTGACCAATGGACAGCAGCAAAAAATAAACCAGAGTTCGTTTGGAAGGATTTGATTTGTTTTAAGTTTGATCACGGATTGATATCAGTTAGAAAATCATTGAAAACCAGGGATTTCAATGGTCTATACAGTTCTATTGCAGTCCTAATGGAGCAGTATCATTCGGCCTTCAATGCTTCTAAATATTGAGATCAGTATGACAGGATTATGTCCAGGGGTACATGAATATGATTCATCACAGTTATGAGACCAGTAGACTGTCATTTTAGCTAACATTTAAGAGAAAGATGCTATTACACAGTTAACTAGTTCCAATCAATAATTACCTCAGCCTTCAATTAAAGAGAGAAATAACTATAAAGAGTGAAAAGGAGTTACATTTAGTTAATGAGTGTGTTTTTTTTTAATTCTAAGGGCTATGAACACACGATACCTGACTGCAGCTAGGAAACAATTAACTCTAGAAAATCACGTATCTTTGAGAATTATTTGCCGGTTTACCGATCAGATATCATTATTTCCTCAGAATCTGAAAAAATGAATAAACTTATTGGTGCCTTAAATCAGTCATACGGCTAGACATAAAGGCAGTTTTGACTTCATAATTAGATAATCAAAAATTCAAACTGTTAACCAAAACGTAGCCAGCCTACAATTAGTTCACTCTATTTTTATTTTTGCCAAACAAGCAGCTGGTATGATTATCTTTGTTATATAAATATCTATATATGTGTACAGTCTCATCGGAACACTAGGAAGTAACTAATGTCATGGGTTTAGTTCTTCGTTTGATGCAGACTGAATTCTATCAGTCAAGTTTGCAATGTGGCCACCATTCTAGGTGGCTCACCATCACGGCACACTCTGAACTGTTGTTCACCAGTGTCAGCAAGCCCGGAACCCAAATCCAAGGCTTCCTAATGACTGTCTCCAATAAATGCATAATTCACTGTCTACAAAACACTTTAACGATTGTAATTAATCAAGCCACACATAGGAGAGAATAGATTTGTTAAGATTTCACCATTTATCTTCACGTTTAAATACATAGCATTCATTTAATTTAGCCATGATATAATATGTTTTAAGATAAGTATAGAAAAGTAAATATAATAAGAGGGTAAAACACTTGATTGACAGACGATTTAAACAAAATTTTCAGTGACTATTAAATATATAAGGCTGATAAAAATAACACTAGACTAATACTTTGTATCTGAGATCCAATGGTAGGATGCACACACACACACATTACCCGGGTTCAATTTACGGCCAACTCACTCCTTAAACCTTGCCTAGTTGACATTAAGCTTGGAAAAGAGGATTGCACATGAGGTTATCAATCCAACCCCACCCAGTAAAAACAACACTAGCACTAGTGAAACATCAAAGCTTGAAATTCTATATTCCATACGGAATGTAAGGAATGAGAAAAAAGAAAAGCGCCTGTTTTACCGAGCCACAACTATTGGCTTCATATCACACAACATAGTGACAAAATGATGACATATATATATTCCTTTGCATTCCGAGTGGAACGTGGGGCTTCAAGCATGGACTTTGAGTTTTCAATATCGCTGGTGTTGCTTTTACGGGGTGGGGGTGAGGATTGCTAGCCTCATGCCCAACCTTCACTCTTTTCCAAGCTTACTATCGGCTAGGTGGTGTTTGGGAGTGCATCAGTTGGAGGTCGGCATTCTAACGTGGAATTAACGAAGCGCGACAAAATGATGACGTTGTGATAAATTAAACTAGTTATTCAAAATTATAACCAAAAAATAGATTTTCAATTTATCAAGTGATTACTGCAACAAAACATTTATAAAAATAATAAAAATGACTTGAAATATATGACTGTGTGGTGTTTCAGAACAAAGAAACTGTTATTAGAGAAACGACAGGAAAAAAAAGTGATAGGAGCAGAACTCACATTTTACTGATAGGTGTATTTTCAAGAAGGACAGGAATCGATTCCTGCGGAATTAATGTTTGCTTATTTGGTTTGTTCAAACTACAGGCCAATTTCGCGATAGACTTTATACAATTACAAAATAAATAACAAAATTATTTCTAGAAATTGATAAAAAAGTTGGATATTACATATATGTATATATACCAGGTGTACATACATTAATTATTCTATGTCCATGCGGGATTAAAGTGTGGGACGACACACTAACGCAATAAGCTATTATGGACACAAAAATCTCGTTTGACACTTATCAACTTACGTCATCTCTAGAGGAGACGTGACATCCGACTATCGATCAAAACCACGTATGCGCTGAGCAACATTCCACTTCGTTCTTGTTTGCAACTGTGAGACGTGGTCCTTTAAAGTGGAAGATATGAAGAGGCTAGATGTATTGGACTATGGACGCTTTGTTCTATTTCCTGTGACAAGTGCTATAATATGGTGAGTAACGTTGAAGTTAGGCGTAGAGTGTTAGGTAACGGCGGGAAGTCAATCGACTAAGTTGTGAAGTCACATCTACTGACATGGCTAGAACACATGTTACGTAAGCCAAGAGTTAAGAGTGGGCAAATCAAAACACGACATCAGTCCACGAAGTCTTCGATTATTACTTTGCACCACCACATAGGGAAGTGTAGACTAAAAGGCTGGGATCCTAGGGGATGCTAAGTACCAATGAGTGGAAACTGTTGGTGATTTGGCTCAGAATCGTTCCTAGTGATGTAGATGAATTCGGTCACCTTGATCTTCCAGACCTATTAAATTCTTATCATTCTACTTCCTTCTCCTATGCATTTCCGTTCATTTTGTCTCTTTTCACTCTACATTTTGATGGATTATTTGATGTGCCAACTCGATTGGTGCAACCAGTTAGCTATCAGTGAATTTAGCATATAAAATTTTCTAAAGACAGGATATGAAAGAAACTGTCCCTAAAGTCCCATCCAAATATATTCATATGCGTATATGTGAATATTAAAGTGGAATCAATAAATGCATTTTTTTACAGTTTTGCTGAGAATCATATAAATTCCACTTACTTTACAATCACATAACAGCACTTTTCTGTTCTAAATGAACAAGAAAACTCAACAAAAGACGTGTAATCTAATAACAGCAGTTACTAGTCACTTAAAAATATGAGTCAATAAGTAAATTCCCTAGTGAAATGTACAAGAGGAACATGTAAGAGTGATAATAGTGAATTCATTACTAAAAATAGAAGTGAACGAGTAGGAATGAGCTTAAGATCATGATAGGATATGAGTCTGAAAAAAACGTTTTTGGTTAATTTTGGCCGCATGAAGTGTACACTTTCCAAACGCATCTCTGAACATTATCCGAGATGGTTATCAAGAGTACACAGCAAGACAATTACTAGCTCGATTATCAAGCACCTGGTGAACTAAGGACATGAGGCTTCACCAGATTCGTCTCTGAAAATTATCTACAAGATAAGATCAAGTGGTACAGGAGGTGATATTTTTCGGCACTTGTATATGCTGGAGGCGCTAGTGATTTTTTATAATATATCTGAACTCTGTGTGCGGGAAAGGCTTGTCCAATTTCTTATTCTATTGTAGTATTAAGTTTCTTCCCACTTGTTCGTTTCTAATTTTAGTCATGAACTTACTATTAGCACTCTCAAATGTTTCTTTTGTACATTTTACCAAGTTTTTTTCACCTTTACACCTGTCAAAGGGACACTTATTCACATTGCTTCTTATCGAATAACAATTTTTGCCTCATAAAATAAATCTCCCATAGTGAAAAAAAACATGTTAAACAGTACAAGTAAACGCCTAAATGCTTTCAGAGAATTAAAATTGACAAACTTCCTATTTCAAGTTTGGTCACCGATTGATATCAGTTAGAGAACCATTGAAAACCACCACCAGGGGGTACTGGATAGCTGTTTCGTCCCAGCTGGGGACTCCTTGGCAGTATCCACCCCCGACTCCATCAGGGATCATCTCCTGGACCTTCAGGTTACGAGAATAAGCTTGTTGACCCTTTAGCCGCTTAGATTGGAATTCAATGACCCATGAATTCTAATTTCTGTCAATTCGCTTCTTATTCATGAAAGAAACTAAAGACAGAAGGATGGAACTCACTTTATTAGGACCTATTCCAGCAGAACATTTGAAACCTGTCTTTTTGAAAATAGCTTGACGAATATTGTAAACTAGTCCAGAAGCAACAGCTAATCGCCTTCCTTCAGCAAAGTTAGAGTCTAATAACTGTATCCAATCGACACCATTAAGTGGGAGACAATTAGTTCCGGTAAGCTCTAAATTTGACTGCTCAGCAATATCACTGTTCGCCACTACAAATGATTCTGAATTTGGTTTCAGTGATGATACATCCTCATCTCGAGTTAAGGTTGAATCTACAATATCTATTAAAGTTTGATAAATATCACATTATTATTTTACCAGTAAGGTCGACATACGCTTCGTCAATACTAGCTCTTTCGATATCTTTTGTGAATTCAGATATGCACTGAATAACTTCCGATCCAGCGACACGGTATCTGTAAGAAGGAAAAAGTGTTTACGCTAAATAACAATGCAATTACTAACTTTGTAAGTTCTGCTTTACCTCGCTTTTCTGGAACCTTGAACATAATAGTATCTGGATACTGTGCACGAATTACATCCCCAAACATTCCACGCTTGATGCCTAAAGCTCTTGCTTCATAACTAACTGCAAGGGCTCTAGAAATAGGAATTAAATGTTGAGAAGAAAGAATAAAAGATGACTAACCCTCCACCTTTCCATTCATTATACTGAACAACAACACATGGTTTTCCTATAGTTTCTGGGTTTTCACGCTGTTCAACTTGAACGTAGAAACAATCCATGTCAAGTAACATCACAATCCTATTTGTCCCCATTTTTAAATATTCACCCTAAAAAAGAAATTAATACAAGAAATTCAATAATAAAAACAGAGAATCAGAGATACTTAAAATGGACATTAAGTACTCTACCTTGAAGACTGAATAAATTACACATTAAATTCACAAGTTACTTAGTAAAAACTATAACAAAACTATGATTTTAATATGTTCATTTTTGAAAGCTCTACAGTTTCAATAATATTAAATTTTCCTTTTGAAAACGCTATATGTAAACTGAGATGTAACCTGTTAGCTTTAAAACTCCACTTTCAATCGACAAGTTATGGGCTTGAGACCTGTTCTATCTACTTCAACCTGTGCAACTGAATATTATAGTCAACCCTCACAAAAAAGTGTAAATCATAGTCTGATCTATGAGTTTTTTCCAGATAACTGAGTTTCAATTCTAACTGTTTGTATAACAGTGAAAGAAGATATTATGATTATACAAACGATTTGTAAGTACAATGCAGATACAAAGTAGGTTGAAGAAAGTCATGAAAGCAAAACCGATATTAAGTTAGTTAAAGAATAATGAGTTCAGACGAAATGTACATAATGAATCTTAATCAGGAAGTAGCCAAATTTTAGAAAACAAAGCAAAATAAACTTGAGTAATTGAGTAAGATCTGACTCGACTTTGGTAAGACTTGTAAACCGCTTAAGTTTATCATGTTAATACAAGGATAATGAAAGAGTAATTCCATTATGGGTAATGGAATTACACTCTACCACAGTGCACAAGCTTTATTCTCATATCAATGATAATGAAAGAGATTGGACGAACTTTTCGGATTTATATTCATGGCTTCGAATTATGTACTGGTAAGGTCTCCGTTATAACAGAAACAGGAAAAAGCCTTTGAGAGGGTTTTTTTGGATTTCATAATTAGTACCGAAATAGATACCCAAAGCCGACAACAGCTTCACCAACAATTCACCAGTCTATTGGCTTACGCGTCCCTGCTCGTCTCAACATTATTTACTTGTAAAGTGTATAGGCACTTTCCATTCATTATTCAATAGCCACTTATACGGACACTGCAAAATTACTAAGTAGGTTTGCTCAATTACACAAATTTAAATGTGTAACATGCTATAGTATGCAATATATTGCATACACAACGACACAATTTCATTGTTGGTTTGGGCGATACAGGTATTGCCTTCGTCTCTCAGTTGCAAGAAGAGACATAAAAAATAGAAAAAATATTCCTGGTAAATTCAATATTGAGGAAAACAATGTCCTTTTTTGCTTACCCAGTAACTGTGCACAACGAATTCCTTATTGCAATGACAGTGGATTTGATATTGACAGGAACAAGTAAAAGAAAGCGAACACCAACACCCCAGGGTTTTAGACTCAAATCGTCAGTGACACTGTGATATTTTCACTTCGCTTACATAGCTATGTAACACGATACGGATAAACACGGTTTTCATTAAAATTGAAAACTACAACAAGGACTAATTTCAAAACGCCTGCCTATTGGAGTTGTCCTTCAAACATCCAATGTTTCAATGCCACTTCAGACAAACTAATAACAACCCTCTGGTTTCTTGGCGCCCATATATTGATTTTACTATGCTGCTGTAGACCCACAACGAACTCCATTATAATTTTTCTCATCTGTTTACTGCTCTGTTGCACACGAGTATGGAGTACATTGACTTATTAGAATTCATATTGATATGCTAAAGGATAATGGGCCATTGTGGTTCGCGATTACTCTTATGCACATTTAATTTCCATTTAAAACTGTTCACAGATGGGATCTATACAACTTCGTGGGGCGAGAGTTTTATCCAACTGACCGCCATATGTAATAATCTAAAAAACACTAGTCTTTTGTTCGACCGCTGTTTGAGTTATTTTTGGCGATTACCTTTTAGAGGTATTCCAAAATGTGGGAATATGTTCAAAAAGTCAGTACCCGAACCATTCCTTAATGTACAATAGGCCAAAATTAAGTAAGCTCTGTTCTTTCACTATGATGGTAGGAAAAGACTCAGATGCTCCAGCCACTTCCTACAAGAAAGGTACAAAAAACACTGGATAATTTAGAGTCCACCCATTACACCTTTTCAAGACTGATGCCTCTTTGAATGCCTGGCTGCAGTGGTAGAGTCGGTGAGAAGCAGAGGCTGAAGACTGTTGCTGACATGCCCGGAAGTCGCTTTGTATTGCGCGGATGCATTATTTTCTTATGAACGAGAGGACCCATTGAAGCGTCACTATCTGGACTGTAATCACTCATTTTTTGATGGGATTCCGTTTATTGCATTAAATTAATCTGCTGTTCCCTCTTTATTGAGGCATCCTATGTGAAATGTGAGAGTTGAACGGGTGGCGTTTCGTGAGAATTTCTGCACAGAACAGGCTATCAGATTGACAAATTATGTGCTTGGCGTCACAATCGAGTGAGATGCGTTGCGATAAGTGTTGGAGAACCGATTTTTCGTTAATTTGTACTCACTGGTTGTGGAAGAAAAGTTATTTCGTGAAGCCTATTGAACCTAGACCATTTCACTACCAGCGATCAATTCATTTGTACGTGCTGATTGAGACATACGATGGTCAAAGTATTTTCCAGGGGACAAGAGCTCAGAGGTGGCGTTGTGGTGTGGCTGCCTTTCTCTCTGCTCTCTTCGTATCATCCTCAATAAACCCGCCATTCGGCAGCTGTGAAATTTACATTCGGCCTTCACTAATTATGGCGGTGCTAAGAACAATCTGATCACGAGGTTGAGTGGGCCAGGTTAAAGAGTTAGCTGGTGGTGCGGCTAAAGCCCAGGTCTAACAGGATAGATAAAAACGAAAGTCGAAGAATTATTTCTAGTCGAAACCAACTGGAAACGAGCTTGCAGTTGTTCAGGCAGTGTAACTATGGCGTTTTTTAATTTGTGACTTGGTGGGTATTGTGTTTTACTTGTCTTATCATTTTTCGCATTCTGATTATTTTGTCCCATTTTGTTCAGTGAAACTCGCTGATATTTTAATGTTCATTTTTTATCATGTGTCCCCTGTCATGTGGTGTGGGTTGTTCTCGTCTCTTATAATTCTCCGTCTTCATGATGTCCATAATGGCTGCGATGCTGATGCCGAAGTCGTTCGAGTAATCGGTTAGTATTTCTAGCTGATTTTTCTCGTTTGTGCTGATTTGGCCATGTGTGTGCCTGGTTAATTCTACTTGGCAGTCACTCCCATTATCTCGTGCCTTGACATATATTATCACTTTAATTTACACCCAATTGCTGTCTTTCGTCACAGAGTAAATTTATCTGAAAAAGTCTCACGGTGCTATGAATTATCATTTACTGATGACGTTTTGGGGAAACTTTTTTCCTCATAATCATATCAAGGTACTCACACAATCTCCAACTTCGTTTTTGTGCATGAGCAACAGTCTGGTTTGGGGTATGGGTGAACAAATAAAGATCAACATAAAGTTCATTAGTCTTACGCGAAATGGATGAAGGAAGACAGAGTGCTTTCAAGAATGCGAGTGCAATTAGATGGGAAATATGACGAGTGCTGTCAGCAAACTAATTTCACATGCTATTGAATTGTAACAACCTGAGTCACTGCGTCTTGTCCTTACATTTTATACTGCTCAATATTCATCTTCAGTAAGCCCTACTATGAAGGACTAGAAGTGCGAGCAGTGACGGTCATAATCAAGTTTACCTATTTTGCAACGAAATAGTCATGGTTGAGCTCGGTGTGATTTATGCTGACTCAGCTCCTTGCTTCATATAATCGTCCAATGCTAGAGATGTTAAATCTTCAGGTTCTCTGCTTTCAGTTGCACAATAAAAACATTTCTGATGAGTCATCCACAATCTTCGTCTGTGCGGCTATTTACTGTTCATAAGTTACATGTTTGTGAAACTCTCTCAAGTCATTCCATTGAAAGCATAAGAGCTGATAGTATTGTAATGTTTGTAGATGACAGATACAATCACAGAACAGAGAGTAACCAAGGGAAGTTTAAACACTGGAGGAAGGATGAGGTGATGGCATTTGCTTTAGGATGTATTTGGATGGAAAAGTATATCGAAATTACGGGACACATTGCAGTCATCACACCTTAGTTTTTGATGGCATCAGATGTGTATCTAAGTCATTCAAAACACGAGGCATGAAATTCCGCCGATGGACTGGGAGACGATAAAAATTACAACTTGAAGAGTACCATGTCACCTAGAAGGAAAAGTTGGGAATGAAGTTCAGGAGATGTTAAGGAATGGTATTACTGAACAAACCGACAAGCCATATGTATCTTCAGCGCTCTTAGGGGAAAAGGTTAATGGGAAGTACTCATTTTGTATTGATATCTGGGAGTTGGACAGCATGACAGAACTAAGACATTGTGCCACACCAGTTGTAGTGGAAACCCCACAATACAAACGCTGCAAAAATAACTCTGTGAAGAAGCGGAATCGCAGTCTTCAACCAGAATTCAAAACAAAACCAAATGGTCCCAAATAGAACTACATTGTTAACAGATTGTTGAGGAACTGTGAGGCTACTATTCTCCAAACACGAGTTTATCCAACATCAAAATACAAGAAAACCAATGGTATCAATGGAAGTGAACATTGAGCGTTGATTCATTGGCCTTGGTCGCCATTGGTGGGCAACTCGAAGGCGCGAATGGTTCAATCGTGTACAAGTTGGTAGAAGACGAAAGAATACGAATAAAAATTATGTACTAACTTCGAGTTTAATTGCCAAATAATAAAACTTCCTTCTTACAACAACTGGTGTTTTGGAGTAAAAGTAGAGAATCAGTCGTAGTAATTATCGGTTCGAATCGTCTTCGTAACAATGGGAACTTAGGATTAAGTTCCTTGACAAATGGCTAACAGGTAACAAAAATATACATGCAAACAAAAAAGCATACAGAGGGAAGAACCACAGATGGTCTATTTAACAAAAAATGGTATTTAAAATGCATTAATATCAGTAAAAAGTTTGAGCATTGTGGATTAGATCAAATAAAGTA